CGAAGTGATGTCATTTCCCCAAAAGATAATTTCATACGTGATTTTTAATAATTCTTATCAAAACTTTATTTTTTCATATTAACAATAAAAAAATACAATAACACACGATACGCTTAATCAGGGTTCGCAGACAGGATACTACTAATATCAATGCAAACTTATAATAAGATCTGAAGCTTAAAAACATTGGGTTTTTTTTTTTTCAATTGTTAACGTTATTTATCTATCAATCTTATATGAGTACGATTGATATATGTAGTCGTCACAGAGTCAGTAACAATAGAGGTAATTCCGCCCTATTAGACATACAGACATACAAACAATTGCAGCTCGTATCGTTGGCGCTTTGTTGCATCTGATAATTGTTAAAGTTGGACGTTGACTATTGTTATGTCGAATAGCTTTTGTACAATAAGACTCTACCATCTGTTCACAGATATACGGTTGCTCATAAAAACTGAGAACTTTTTAAGCGTTCAGTGATGACAGTAATAAGAACTGGGTATAAAATGGAATAAGAGTAGAGTAGAATGGGAGATCAACATACTGAAATTATAAATGCGAAGATTTATGGATGGATGTTTGTTACCAAGTAACTCGTAACGGCTAACAGATCTCGTTTAAATGGGGCAAAGATCACATATGTACAATATTCCGAAAGAACACGCCTGTGTTACTTGCTAATTATTTTAATTCTACGCGTACAAAGTCACAAGAAAAATGTAGTAGTAAATAAAAAGAAGATTGACGCTATCTAAATATAACTTTTAAGGAAAATACATAGAACCATATTTCACTGAACATTGGTCATATCGTTGTTTAGACAGCAGAAGCTGACAAAGAAAAAAACACGAGTGAAAAGCGTCCATTATTCTATAGTCTACATTTTACACACTTATAGATTGATCTAATGACTACGGTCTGGGGTTTAAATCGCAAAACGTCCGCACTAATGAGTTTTGGTTTTCAGATTTTTCACCGATCCGAGAGCTCTTCATATTCAATCAAGCCTGGATTTTTTCTACTCATTTATTACCTAGACATGGAGGCCAGGTTGAATGCAGTTAAGTACTTTAGTTTAAATCAATAAAAAAAGTACTACGATACACCAGTACACTCCACAATAAAACGTAAACACTAGTAAATTTGCGTTCTATTGTTCGATCCACTAATATAAACACTGAAGAAGTTTAATATGTTGTAATAAGTACTATTAAATAGTAATAAGTGTTTTGTTTACTTTAGGCCTGTTACTATTACTATTAATAGTGCCGCTGTGTAATACGTAACATAAACATGTAAACAAAGCTAATAATCGTTGAGTAATATACACGATTAATAATATGAATAACGCAGAATTATTAAATGTGCAATAATTTCGATTATAAATATAAATATGCGATGTAAAACAAAATATGGAACATCTGGCTGGGATTTCCCGTTTCTTTGTCAGCGTTTTCTTCAGTTTTACTTTATTGAAACGTATTTTCTACTTAAAATTATTTACCTAATCATTTTGCAACATAAACATGACTGTAACTTGGAAAATGCGATATAAATATTCTACTCCCATCTTTCGACTAAAATATGACTCAAATGTAACAAAGTCTTTGGAGCACACTATATTAAGTGAAAGTTGTCTTATTTAATTAAACAAAAACGTTATTGAAATAAAAAGAACTAAACCGCTTAACCGTAACAACTCTAGTCGTTCGATATTATTAAAACATCAAAAGCTATTAACTTTTTGTGATCTTACAATTTTTTACAAACAGTAGATCGTATGTTCCCCGTTCAGTTGGGATTTTCTTACTATTAAGCCGATCGGTACACCGATCGTCCCAACGGGAACCAACTGGGTGTTGATCTATGATCGATTGTAACAAAACGCATATATTAGGTGTATAAAATACACAAGGAATAGTATTGCGAACCGTCTGAGTAACCAGTTTTATTATATAATAGCCGTCGTTCGCCGTTGGGGGGTTAAGCAGACTCATAACGGCAATCTCAGGCCTTAGCAACAGAACAAGGAAAATAGATGTTGCTTGTTATTACTTGGTAATTAAATAACTGTTGTTTAGGCAAGATGTAAATACATCAAGTTTTTAAGTCTATACTCTCTTAGTTCTAATTGAACAGAACTATGGTAAAACTTTAACTTTACAATTCAACTGACAAAAATCATTATAAAACCTTTAACTAAAACTGAGTATCTACATCTGTGTTAGCTTCTTTCAAGTTGGTAAAAGAATAGTTAGTCTCTGTCTAGTGTTTCTCGAAAATTCATGGACTATAAGTAAAAAAAAAATTGTTTCCATTAAGAATAGAAAGAAAATACTCAAATGTTTCATTACTTTAATTTACAGTCTGCAAGCTAAAGGCAACAAACAAAGAAGGCGGCTTAGATGATTTCTTAATGAGATTGTTCAGCGCCTCTAACTAAATTAGAAAGCAATTAGATGAGTGTCTTAAATTAACATTTATTGTTGAACGCCACAAGCCTTGGGTTGTTGACTGTGGATTACAATTCTTACTTGCAAATTGCAACATTTTCTAACTGACATTTCATTGTAATATAACAATTAAAAATAACAACATTATAAAAGCACAACTTTGAATTTATGAATTAATCTTTTTTATGTTTGTTAAGTTCATGACCACAGTCCAAACTGATTAAAGTGAAAATGCAGTCAAAAGGTACAAACTAGTTTAATAAATATATGTTTACTCTTCTAATTATATGTTTCTTCTGTCATAATATTTGAATTTCCGTTTCTACACATACTCATACAGAATTCATACTGCTTTAATGTTCTATATTTATATCCACCCAAATTTTCTGTAATACCACAACTATTTTAATTATAATCCTGCGGTTTTTGTTTATGGAGGATACACAGATAATTACACTTAGGGCCTGTCCTACCAAATTGTAAATTGTTTGTTAACAAACATGTAATATGTGATGGAAATATCGGATTTGGTTACCTTATCTAACAGTGGCATCATTTAACTGGGCCTCTATCAGCCAGTGGTGGGACAGACCAATACTATATTAATATTTTACATGTTAAAAACAAAATATACTCAGTCAGAAATAGAACAAGACAGTGTTGCTGTTGAGTGAGTGATTGAAAAAGTGATTCAATTGTAAACCAGTTTGTATCATGCTTTGCAATGCTATTTATTGAACAGTGGCTGTATAGAGGTTAGAGTGAAAGTAGAACAGATACAAAGTATTCGATTGATGGCATTATACAAGATTTATATTATGTTTTTGTACGAAAGTGTTCATCTTTCGTAAACCTCATTTATGAATATCTTACTTCTTGCTAATATTATAAATGCGAAAGTTTAGATGGATGGATGGATAGATGGATGGATGGATGTTTGTTAGCGTTTGTAGCCTAAACGGCTGAATGGATCTCTATGAAATTTGATACAGATTTAGAGCATAGTCAGGAAGAAAACATAGGCTACTTTTTATCCCAGGAATAGTTACGGTTCCCGTGGGATTCATTAATTTAGTTTTTTAATGTTTACTCGATCATTCTGCAATGGTTCAACATATCTTATCGAAATTTGGCACAGATATAAAACAAAGTCTGGAGTAATGTATATAGTTCGTATGTTTCTCTAATACTATGCGGACGAAGTTGCGGGCAACTGCTTGTTTATTAATATTTCAGTCGGTACTATATGTTGTATTTGTAATAAATAATGTGCTCCACAATTAATTAAAAAAAGACTTGCATCTGTATCATTAGGGAATAGTTTACCTAAAATCTAAAATCATTAATAAGAAAGAAAATGGTTCAAGAAAGATATCTCAAGAATGTGGTAAATATTATTTGTTATTGTCAATTTCACATTTGTGTTTTTTTTTAGTTTTACTAAGAGTTAGTAAATCTGTATAATTTTTAGTCATAAATGTAGCTCTGAACAATCATTATTCATAATTCTTTTCAGTCTTTCATAAGTGGGATTTGTAGGAAAAATTCCTGTAATTGATGAGTAACTCACCATTGGTAAACAATAGTTACGATATAATTGATTCATAAGAATGCTCTCATTAAGAATTATGAATATGACTCACAGCAGTAATAAAAAATCAGACAAAAAGATTTAGATTATTTTTCTCTTTACAAATACTAAATGCCTCTTTGATTTTACATAGAATCAACTTGATGGGCAGGAAATGTCACTTAACATATATGAATAGGTACTCAAATATTGAAAATTGCTATTTTGGAGCCATCTACAACGAAAACATTTAAAGCTGTTTGTGGAGGTGACAGATATGTTATCATTTTCACAAATAGATAAAGATTTTAAGTAGAAAAATATTTGTAGAACTGATTCTGAAATTTCCTTTTATATTTGAACAGCTTTTATATGCAAAAGTTAATGATGTCTCACTAATATACAATATGTAGTTAATAGGCAATTAAATTTCATTATTACCTATATTATTACATCATTAAACTTTATGTTTATTAACACAAAAGTAATTTACTAAGTCTTGTTCACTGAAAAACCATTGTTATTACCAAATATGACAGACAGAGTATAGGGTATAAACAAAAGGTATGATTTTATTTATTTCTGTATCTTAGTTTATTGCTATTTTAATAAAAATGACTTAAAAACCAGGAGTTTATGTCAACAAAGCTACTAGTTGATATTTCGTTAACTATTTTAAAATGAGAAGCAAAATAACGGTCGTAATAAAATTATCTCCATTGTTAAAGTAGGAGGTTCAATTTATTTTAAAAATTCAACGAAATATATAGCTTGATAAACACGTGATTGTTGTTGTTATTATTCAGTAAATTATGAATTTCGCACAAAATAAAAGTAATGTTATAACGCAAAATTCTATTACCGAGTAATAGTACGACCAAAAATGACAATGACTAAAGCCTCATCTAAGATGCAGTATTAGTCAATGGAGTTTTGTTTTAATAAATTAATATTTACTGTCCTTGTGTACTTACCACTTTCTATGTAAGGAAGAGCTAACAGCAAAAACACTACATATCCAATTTCACTAATCATTGTTGCTTATAAACACACTCTTTTTGTATCACTAAGTCATTGCACACACAGCTGATTTTTAAATCACACAAAACCTTTGTCTGTTTTTGACAAAAACGCATGCGCGCACAAACAATATTTTTTTATTTACATTACAACAATTCCTAATATTCACTGATCACATTTGAAACTAATTTAAATGAGAACTCTAAAAAATCTTCGTCTCATAAACGTTGAATGAAATGATAAATAACAACAAAAACCATGATAACACCCGCGTTGATATTGCTAACGTAAAATGTAACTATAACAATAACTTAAAATTGTTTAACACTACGTTATTGTTCCATGTTTTTGTCAAAAATACACTATTAACTTAACTATAAAATAATGTTGAAGTGAATTCGGAAATTTATAATCGTCGCCTTCCTGACTGACATGTCGCGGAATGATTTTATCATTCAAAGACTCACTCTCGAAACATGTTGATTAGTAAAAATCTGACCAATGAGCGGTCATTGTCAAAATTTGAGATTGCAAGAGATTGGTCAAATACAGAAAAATACCAGTTGGTATTGTATGATTCCGAGAGTGTAGCCAGGCGAAGTTCAGTAATCGCAAACCATAGAGTCAAAGAATATTTAAAAGCGGATATGGGTAGGATATGGTAGAATCATCGAAGCTATATTTTTAATCTGTCACACGAAGAAATCTCGGTAATAGATTACATAAACTCGTAACTGCGGTGTCTTGTAATGTTGCTATTCTTCTAATTTTTATAATTTCCTGATTTATTGTTTTAATGTTAATTAGGTACATAATACCATTATTTTATTTTTCCACTTCACTGGACTGCTTAAATATTGCAGATTTTTAGACAATCATTTTTGCAGTTGGTGTAGCTGTAGGTGTGCAATAAGGTAACCACAAATCATGTGAATATGGTAACAAAGCCGTGTATCAAAAACAGGATCAGAGCAGAGATCTACATCTGCATAATGATCATATAAAACATGGCAATGTATTTGGAGAAGAAGTAAAATAATACTGTTCCAATATTCGAACAAATGTAAGTTTTTGTTATAGTTGATCGAAGGTTCCATCCTCTTAATGCCACTTAATGCAGTTGATTTTTCTATCTTTATTTATTTAAATAGGGCAAATAAAAATAGTGCATTACGTTACATATTTAATTCACAATGTAACATATTTTGATACGAATTTGTAACAAATGTAACAATGTATTATATCATATTTATTTATGAGAATAATAAAGACTATTAGTGGAACATTATATTCTTATCATTAAGTAATCACAATAATTCGAGCGTTATCATGCGAAATGTAAATATATCACGGAGGTAATACTTCTTGCAGATTGTTTGGTGCATAAACACCTTTTTCAGTTATTATTCCTGTTATCAAAGTTGCCGGGGTGACATCAAATGATGGATTCCAACACTTTATTCCTGAAACAGAATTGATTACATTACATGCCATGGAATAAATTTTGAAATCAAACAAATTTAGTAAACAATTGCATGTCTTCCAACATTCTTATATAACCTACTGTTAAAAGCTGAAGGATTTTTTATTAATAAGCAAGGCAAATAACTAGATAGTTGGAAATAGATTATGAGTGTAATAGTAATTAATTATAAATGTAAAATCAAGAAATGTTACCTGGAGCGGCAATTATAAAATCACCAATATGCGTCATTTCTTTATCTGGTCGTTCTTCTATTTTAATACTATCTCCAGATTTTAAAGACATGTCTATAGATGTTAATGGTGCAGCAACATAGAAAGGCACATTATAGTGTTTGGCGATTATTGCTATTTGATAGGTACCTATTTTGTTGGCAGTATCTCCATTTGCTGCTACCTGGAATAGATAACATATTCAACATTTAAAACTTTTTACAATAAAAAATATACAATTTCAACAATCCCACATACAAATTACATTCTCTGAAAGATATTAATATTCCTTATTTATAAAAAAAATGTAATAATATTTTTTAATTACTATAAATATGTTAGATACAGTTATTAATCAAAAGGTGTCAAACTATACTTGTGTACAATCTTGAAAAATATAACATACCCTATCGGCACCCACAACTACAGCTGTTATCTTTCTTGCATTCATCAGCGCAGCAACCATGCTATCCACAATCAGTGTGGCTGGAATTTTCTCATGTACCAATTCATATGCGGTGAGTCGCGCTCCTTGATTATATGGACGAGTTTCTGTACAGTATACATGGTCTGAAATTAAATAAAAAAAATTTCAACAATTTCAATCCACTAAAGAACTTACAAGGAAACTTATACTTTGTTCATAATACACAAATAAGAAACAATGGATAAACAAGACAACTTTTTTTACGGTATTTTATAATACCATTCACTACATTGTTTTTATAAAATTATAAGTGTGAAACATGAAAAATAAAAAAAATGCAGGCCGACATTTTTTTACAATGTCTAAGTCTCGTTTCGAGTGAATGGTTACAAAAATACTTAACAACTTTTTGTTACATATTATATTTAAGTACCTAGTCTACTAGATTTATGCAGAGATCTGATGACTCCTAAAGCAGTACCATAGCCCGCAGTCGCTAAGGAACCGGTGTTGCAATGGGTGAGCACTCTCACTTGACTGTCACCTTCCAATTGTTTTAGTATAGCTTCACAACCAAACTCGCCTATTGCTTTATTATCTTCTATATCTTTAACAAGCATTTTTTCAATGCATTTGATGAATCTAAAATTACAATATGTATAGTCACTTGTACTATAATTTCCTGTCAAAAATCCTGGAATATTACAAAAGTATATCCACAAATTTGTTCGTTTTCTAAGTAAAACACTTACTTACTTAAAGGTTGACATCTAAAACTCACCACTAAGATTAAGCAACAATGCTTTGTAATACACTACTTTTAAGTGAAATAAAATATTTCACACAATAACTTAAAAATGACAATCCAATGACCAAAATAATGTAATAACTCCTAATTTAACTAACATAACTAAAATGTTATATGAATTACATGATTTTACCTCTCTTTAAAACTTTCCGCTGAAACATTTTCATCTGCGCTGAGAGTGTTAGCTAAATTTATGAGCTCCTCAGCTGCAAGTTTGATGTTCACAGCTGTTGGTCTAGCTGATACTAAGTAATTTAATTTACCCTCAATCTGTAAACATAATTAATAATTATACAAGCAGTATCATCATCAACTTGCCCTTATCCCTTGTGGAGGATTGGCACAGTATGTGCTGCTCTTCCATACATCTCTATCAGCCGTCATATCTGAATCCATTCCTTTCTTAACCATATCCTCTTTCACACAATCCATCCATACTTTCTTCGGTCTTCCTCTACCTTTGTAGCCATTCACATTCATTCTTAACACTTTCAGGTTTATGTCTCCATAGTCTCGTTGCATAACATGTCCATACCACGCTAACCATTTGCTTCTGAATTTCTCCACCACTGGCTCTACTTTCAAACTTCTTCTAATATACACATTCTTAACTTTATAAATTCTTGTCACACCACACATTACATAATCCATTTTAACATACTCATCTCGGACACATGCAATCTTCTTTGATCCGCAACTTTGGTGGCTCAACATTCAGATACAAGCAGTATCAGATTTCATAAAATGCAGTTTATAGTTCTTTAAACTAATGAGTATGCTTTTCAACATTGTAAAATATTATTTTAGAATCACAATTAGAACTCTGACCTCTTGCCGCATAATCTTTTTATCAGAAGTTTCATCCTTAAGCAACTCCACCGCAAGTGATAAGCAACCAACTATGGCTATAGCAGGTGCCCCCCTGACCTGGAAGTGATAAGAAACACATAGAACTTTAACTAGTAACTTATGATAAGTAGTATTTTAAAGTTCTATGTGTTCTACTTAACTACTTATAATATGCTGACCATTAAATAATTTAAACTGTAACAGTTTGTATATAAATACCATTATGCAATAGGATCAAATTATATAATTTAGAATGACAGAGAAAAGGACTGATAAATGTAGAATTTTTAATCCTTTATAAATATACTTAACGACTTCAAAAATCTAGTAAATAACATAAGTATAAACAAATGGAAATGTATTTTGTAGAATTTAGTCACTATGGTAAGTAACATTAGTAACTTACTTGCATTTTATTTATAACTTTCCATCCATCTTCAACACCTGTAACTTTAACATAAGTCGTTTGTAATGGAAGTAATAATTGGTCTAGGACTTCTAAACTTCCTCTATGATACTTTATAGATTCCAAACTCATTTTGTATTTTTTTGGACCAACAAGAGGTTTTGGACCCTAGACCGACCACTGGCGCTAATCAGAGTATACCAAATGAACCCGCAATTATGTACGATATAAATAAAATAAAAGAGTGGCTGGAGTTTGAGGTAATTCTAAGGTTAAGTTAAAGTTGAATGATGAAAGATAAAAACGGTTCATTCGTAAGTTGACAGTAGGCTGTTTAAGTTTGACACCAGATGACATGTAAATTTGACAAGTTAGCAGTGTGGTCAGCTTAAAATTTGATGTTCTCCCAGCTTTTTAAACAAAGAATACTTATGAATAGACTATAGACAAAGTTGCTTTTTCTGGGCATAGTGAAAATGTTGACAGGAAATGGTTACATCAAATTTGTCTATGAAAGAATTAATTTCCGGCCGGCATTGTCGAGAGAAGCTTCGTCATTGCGCTTTGATTCTAGAAGTTTTTCAAGCTATTTGCAGGGTTTTGCAAAATGTCCTTACCACGTGTTTACTTCGATGTAGTTGCCGATGGTGCTGTTTTAGGAAGAATTGTTGTAGAGGTAAGCCGTTTGTTTTATAATTAGTTGTGATTAAGTCTAAGATTCCGGCCGGCGTGATACACCCGACCACGCTATCGAAAAATTTCTGGTTTGACTCATTCATTTTACAGTACTAGTACGATGCCCACAAAGTTATTGGGGATAACTGCAAATAAAATCTCTATAAATGTCCGAGGTATGGTTGATAAAATATGTATGTAAAGGACACGGCTGTACTGTATAGCTATATATAGATGTATGGTAGGCACTCCTCACTTTGACCGAGATTACTTTGTGAAGGTCAAATTCTCCAAAGACCTTGACAGTTAATAATGTATGACGGAGGATTATCAATATTTGTCACGTATATATTAAAGATATCTGCTACACCCATCTTTATAGCGTTGCGTGGCGTCTTGTATACGTACTGAATATACTATAAGCAAACTTCTCACCATTATATGATTGATTATTTTTTTTTGGATTCCATGAGTTATTTTCTGGAAATTTTATATGCCTATTGAAATAATTTACCTTAATAATATGAATGATGAATTTGTACTTCAAGTATATCTGAAATAATGTTGAAATTATTTTTTTTTTATTACAGTTAAGGACAGATGTTACTCCTAAGACATGTGAAAACTTCCGCGCTCTTTGTACTGGCGAAAAGGGCTTCGGTTACAAGGGCTCCACTTTCCACCGAGTGATCCCCAACTTCATGTTGCAAGGTGGTGACTTTACAAACCACAATGGCACTGGTGGAAAGTCCATCTACGGTGAGAAGTTCGCTGATGAGAACTTCGTCCTGAAGCACACCGGCCCTGGTGTACTCTCGATGGCTAATGCTGGCCCCAACACCAACGGGTCTCAATTCTTCATCACTACTGTGAAGACATCCTGGTTGGATGGGCGACACGTCGTCTTCGGAAACGTGGTTGAGGGCATGGAAGTTGTCAAGCAAGTTGAGAGCCTCGGTTCCCAATCTGGCAAACCCTCTAAGAAAGTTATCATCGCTGACTGTGGCCAGCTTTGCTAAGCTAATTGAATGTAATATTTAAAAATGCAATATTTTAAGTTCTAACATAATGTCACTCAACTACCTTTCCATTCATGAAGATTTTACATTTAAATATGGGTCATTCCAATGTTATAAATTTATAACTATTTTTTAGGTCGCAAACTAGTAATTGCATTTATTTCTGCATTGTATATTCATAATAAATTAACTTATATACTTGTTTGCATTTTCAATGTGTGTAATAACCATGAAATTTAATGGAGAATTGTTTCCTAAGTTATGAGACTGCCTATTATTGCTAAATGCTTGTATTTTGTACTTGTTACTCTCGATTGCTGTGTAATGCTAGAAGTAGTGTAAAACATCATTACAAAAGTACTCACATTTATTGAAATAAAGGTAGTTCATATACTTGGTCATTTTTATTTACCTCTTTTGTTATATTCATAAAAGTCTAGGGTTGTATCTCTATTATTAAAACCTTAAGGTAAAGAGACAAGGAAGGTAGGAAGGCTGGTTTTTGTACATGTTTTGATAGTGGGAACAAACAAGTTGAGTAATGTTATTGATAAGATTCAACCACAATTGATAATGCTGGGAAAAATTATAGTCAACATCCTATTGAAAATTATATTAAAGGTAATTTGTGGCAAATTCATAGATAACAGAGTTCAATAACAATTTCTACATAGCATTTTAATGTAATGACGGGTCTTTTTACATGAAAATTGCGGGGAGAAAAAATGAAAAGTTAAAATTCATACTTTTAAATTAAATTCCTAGAAAACATTCAATAAAAACTACGTATAATTTTTTGTTTGCATTTTAATAAGTTGAGATCTTTATTCATTTTTTAAATTGTTCTATCTAAGAAACGAGTACTTATACAGTATTATGTTGTGATCAAACTTAAATTTGAAGCTAAGAAATAAACTTAATGTATACACGATTCTATCTTCATTACGATATTGATTAAAAATTAATTGTAGCCTCATATTTTAATAGTGAAACAATATAATATTGTGATAATATAAAATAGATTAGTATCTAACAGTTTTCTGATCGCGTCAGAACCGTAATTACAAAGTGACGTTGTACAGCATGATGTACAAGCATAAAGTTTCGTCCTCTCTCCGATGACGATGCAGCCCGGCTCGCAGTGTTTCGTACAATTACGTTCGAGTGCCCACATCTTGAGTGCGGTTGTGGAATTTTCCGTCGAAGTCGTAAACGAGAATCGCTTCACCTGAAGAGTTGATAATTAAATAGACAAAAGTGAATCGAATTAGTACTAAGGTTCGAATAACCCATACAAGGAGCATCACAAAATGGTAGTTTTTGGCACGATTAAAATTTTAGTCTTATTGAGAATCTAGAATTAGTAAGTGGGAATTTAAGTGTAGATTTCTTAGATTGAGTACGGCAGTAAACGTGAATTAACAAAGATATTTACCATGCACATTCTTCGGTCATTTTGACATTTATGTATGAGCGCGGAGTTATTGTGGCGCAGGTCCGCGCATTTGTCCTCTGGCACCTCGGCGAGGCATTTGTAGCACCATAGCTCATTGTTAGGCCGCGCCGCTGCCGATGTCACATGAACACTGTCCCGAAGCAAATCGCCTTTAAGTCCTGGAAAATACAGGTCGTGATATTTAATTACAATGTATAAAAAGGTCAAGATAAAATACTTAACAAAACCAGTACTCAATGTTTTCTTAAATTTTTAGAAATCTCAACTGGAAAAGTTAAGCAAAACAAAAGCCACATACAATAAAGATAAAAACAACTAATATAAGCAATGAGAAGCTTAAAACGTTAAGTCTAGCTGTACAATTTTTTGCCTGTAGCATCTAATTAAAACCAGAAATGATCTTAACAACTATGTAATGTGTATTATTAGAAATGAACTAACATAAGCCTGATTAAAAACCATATAAGCATACGTATATGTAAATTTATTCAGACTATTGTTTGTTGACTGTGCCTTGAAAATGCCGTGACCATAGACAAGCGTTTGACGTTTGCAAATTACCAAAGAATGACGAGCGTTCATGCGTTCTACTTGCGAATGCTTTTGTGTGTCTATGATTATGATGCAATAGGATGTTATTGGTAATAACTAGCGTTTATAAACATTGTTTTGACATACCTGGTAGGAAAATTGACACCGAGAGCAGTAGCACACAGCGCATGATGTTTGCAATGTACAAGGCGCATGATCCAGCATCTGTATCGATTGGACCTCGCCGCGACCTGTTGCTGCTCCCGGCTGGCCCCGCCCACACCCCCGCGCCCTTCACCCCAGCCTCTACATCTACACCACTCATACTTCAAGGCCCTACGGAGCACTCTCATCGTAGAAAACAATCTCAACTTTACGAATTCTTAAGAAAATTAAAAAGTTTTTCCCCTTGTCGCTGTTGTACATACAATTTCATTGAAGAAAACATTCATTATGACGATCAAATGGAATTTGTCCTTATAGGGCATATTCAAGCTTTTTGTTGTAAATTTTCTTGAAGAATAATTTAACATTCTGTAATTAAAAGTTTTGATACTAATGAAGTTCAGGCGTAGTATATTTGTTGTACATATTTCATTTAGTTATGCAAATATGCAGTTTAATTATGTTTTCAATAATCATGTTGAGTTTAATAATAATGACTAGTTGTCCGAATTAGTACCATTTTCCTTACGTTGTGACAATGGGATAAATGCTGTATCAAATAATTTAAGGCAAAATGGATTAAGACCAAATTTTATTTTATTAAATTTTAAAAGCAGAATTACTTACAATCACTTTTAAGTTATGTATTTTATTATTTATTGAATGAATTTGAATATATACATGTAAACGAAAATGTTGTCTTTATCTCGAATAAAATTTAGGTTTCAATTATTTATACTGCACCTAAGATTCCAATAAAATGGAAACATCATTCTACTTCGGTAATTACGAAATACGAAAAGTGCAGACTTTTCTGTTAATTTGGTAATATCATTAACCTAAAATTGTGCCTGGCAAAGCGAAAATATGTAAGACTTCAGCGAAAATATTTTTACGAAACATTAGCTTTATTTATCGGCACGTGCGCCGGAAAATCCGGAGTTAGGGCACGCCGGAGTGGATGAGCCACTCGGCCGTGAAATTTATAACCTGCCTACTTATACACACGTACTATTTCAAAATAAATTGATTTGATTAGCGAAGTAGGCACTATTTAAAGATATTCTGTAAAAGATTAATATAGAATATTTTATTTACATTTGGAAAATTGGAAAATTGAAAATGCACACATCGTACTAGAATCCCCAATCGCATGTAGACTTATCCCTTTGTTTTACGGGATTGTTGTTTATCAAAATAAGAATATTTTTAATTTATTAGACCTTCAACCATCCTTATTGCATTCGACTACACGTATTTGGTATTTTTAAAACATGTCCAACCAAGAACGATGAATGAAATCGTTTTGGATTGAATCTGGGATAGATTATTTCCACGAAGGTATTGCTATCAATTATATTTGTTAAAACTTTTGCCCAACAAGTTTGGGAAACTTGCGAACTTCGTTGCCAGCTACGAGCTATTATACATTAAAATTAAATTTATTCTGAATTCACAAAATTTTGTTATAGACAATGAAATTTCAAAGTGAACGAATATTTAAATTAAATTACGATTTCGGTTAGGACATAAATACTTTTGAAGTGTTATTTAGATTTATCGTAAATCTTGGAATTGTAAAGTTACTTTTATTATTGGAATTTATTAGTACACTTTTATTCTACTGAAGATATTTTAAAACGAATGAATCCATTGATGCGGTAACATATTTCTGTGTAGTAATTAACTAAAGTCATCGATGTAATTTTCATTCTTGTTAAGAGAAAAGCAAGACGTATAAAGCTGAAATAAGAGAGGGCAATCTTCCATCAGAACCATAAAATAAAACTTGTAATGTATATTTTTTCGTTTAAAGACCTTCAGCGTAGTTCCAAAGTGAAATATTTCATTATTTTCAAATCGTGATTCTCCTTCGGTCAGTAAATTGAATCCACTTTGTAACGTCGTTAGCCGATCTGATTGAACCTAATGGCCATTTATGATCTATGCCTTTTATCTTATTCTAGTTTCTTGCGTCTTTATTCACATTGAGAGGTTATAACTCTATTAACCATAAAATCAGTTTTAACATTTTGTTACTCTGAAGAAAAAACGATTTAATCTAAAAGTGTATTAATAACTGGAAGAAAGACTTTAATAGTAACAATTAAATAAATTAAAAAAAACTTGCAGTTTTTTTAAATTAATAAATAAAAAAATACCTACTGTATTCAACAAACAAATAGTTGTAACCAGACTGTAGCGTGCAACATTAAATTAAAAAAATAAACATACACACGAATTGTGTAGGTACCTCCTTCTTTTGCAGTCGGTCAAAAAGGTAAATATTGTCTATGACAGTAGTGCGATAATGGTGACTCTTGGATTCCGCAGTTTTAATACGCCAATCTCAAAGTTGTGTAATACACGCCTTCAACACAGACTACATCATAGAGTTGGCCAAAGCAAGTGATATACTATTTACTTACAATAGATAAACTATTTACATTCTTACGCAATAAAAAAACATTCTTTAAATGATGTCAAACACATTAATGGATAAATAAATATAAAAGTTGAGTAGCTTAATATTATCAATGCTTTTACGTTCTTTCAGAAAAGTCGTAAAGCCTCTATTATCTGTACACATCAACAATCAGACTTGAGCGCTAAGAAGTTTTACGACGGGGTCGGGTGGTTGGAGGACATTTTACGTCGAACGCACTTCTACCCCGATAACAGCGCCAAGTGTTACTTACTCTCAGGTAATTCTCACACACTTAGTACGTTTACAGTTGTTACAAAAATATACATTTGTTTTAATTTTCAAATAATATAACACTATACGAACACTGTTGTTATTTCTGTTTTATTCGATCAAAGGAAAGGGATGCCAATATTTTAGTAAGGTGCTACGAAAGTGTAGATTAAAACAGCTTCTTACAAAACTATCATACTGATGGATGGATGTTTCTTAGAGTCTGTAGCCTAAACAGCTGAACGTATTTCGATAAATTTTGGTATCGATGTAGAGGATAGTCTAAAAGAATACAGAGGCTACTCACTTTTGTGTTTTTAATTCCACGCGGATGGAGTTGCGGGCGAAAGCTAGTATAGAATATGTTAGAATAATTCATGAAAAATGGAGTTTAAAAAACAGATTTAAAGAACAGACAGTAAAAAAAAAACATCCCCATTATGTTTTTTTTTACCTTATTTTCAACTATTTATTGTTATAAATTGTTCATAGGGCACAATGAAATAGCTTTTCTTATAAAGTAATATTGAAAGATGTCGGATTTTTTATTATTACGATCTTTTCTCTTGTAATCTCGTATCTTTTTATAGAGCTTTTATATTTCATTTCATATTAAATAGTTTTATGAAGTAATATAACCTTAAAAGGATATATTGCGGTAGATGGATGGTATCCGGTTGTAATGTTGAGGATGTGAGAGTTAATGTTCAGTACTTACAATTAAATTGTGGAAAAGGATGTGCACATTCTGTACTGTTATCCATTAATAATATAAGACACACATGTTTACTCTGCTTAACAACATAACCTTATCTTTATTTGCAAATGTATTTTATAAGTTTTTTTTTTATAACATAAGGTGGCAAACGGGCAAGCGGACACCTGAATCCGCCAAAATGGCGAAGCCACCGCTGCCCATAGACATCCGCAATTGCACATGCGTTGCCTACCCTTGTCCGACGGAGGAGGAGACGCACATAAAGAGGATATTGCCCCTTCCTATGCATCTCCTCCACTGTCAAATCTACTTTCCCTTCCCATCCTCTCCTTATGAGAAAAGGGTGGTAAGGAGTAAGGGACTTAAATTACGCCTCCGTCACCACACTCATCAGACGAAACACGAAATTGCTTCCATTTCACGCCTGTCTTCTGTGTGGTCATGGTATTACACCGGGCGTGCAGGCCCATTCGTGCTAAGATCTTAAAGCGGGCACTACCACTATTTGAACTTATGCATCATCATCATCATCATATTTCTCCTTATCCTACTACCGTAGGATTGGTGGAACAGGTTTTTGTCCACCACATACCTCTATTATACGTTATCACAGTCATCACTCCTTTTTTGATCATGTCACCTTTTACGCAATCCATCCATCTTTAAGTTTGAACTTATGCATAATAATTAATTATTGCATCAAAAGTGTTGATTACTAGAAATGTCGTTAAGCTTTTATATTAAACTCTATTAGAAATATAAGAAAGAAAAGGTCTAACAGTCAGATTTACATTAAAAAAGGAAAACTGTATTCATATATTCGATGCGAATGACGGGACATAAAGAAACAATGCGTGTGTGTATTGAATTCCCCGCGGCTCGTAATGCCGCGATTGTTCCACAACGAATGTCTTTCATATCAGAATTTGACGCGTTTTCTGTGACGAACGTAAATGTAATTTACATGTTGAATGCCCTTTAAATGTTAGGCGCTTTCCAGCATTGATTTTAACTTCAGCAAAGAGACCACTTTTTTAAATGTCATGTTTCTATGTAATACATAGGTAGACTTGCATTACCCAGACTCGTTTTAACTTAGGGGTTCGAGTAAAGCTGGCTGCCTAAGTTCCAGGCCTTTGAAGGCGCCAGTCAATAGACTTATTGGCTTTTAGGGAAGCCACAATGATGACGGACGGACGGACGCCCAATGTGATTTTTACTTATAAAAGCTTTTTAAACTGCGAAATAAACATTAATCTATACTCGTACTATTATAATAAAATACTGCTATAGGCTTATGATGATTATCATGGTTTACATGTGTTTCAATTGTACACAACAAATACTTTACTTTTTAACTGCGAAATTCATTATTATAAAATGTGAGTGCATAAGAATAGGTTAATATCCTTCAGGCGTTGCCAAACATCAAAGCGATTATTTGGATCAAAATATAAAATGAAACCCGCTCATGACGGAGTTTGTTAAAAATAAACAACATTTGTGTTAATATTGGGGGAGAGAAATCAAACAATCTTCTTACATACAATTTGTATTATAAAATATTACAAAGTAATTACTTTTTAATCCCTAATACTTTTTAATCTTTACTTTTTATTATGTTCAGGAAAAAATAAATCTAGACTTAAAGGTTTCTCTCGTATCCGAGGCCAAGACCCACTTTGGGTCGCTGCGCCAAAGAAGTAAGTAAGTAAG